GACGGAAAATATCATCAGTCTGCAGCAGAGAAAGAAAAATCATGTGTACAAAGAGAATCGAGACAAATCAAAGAGACATTTGTGCGAAGTTTTGGAAGTCACCTGATGATCTCAAGAAAATATTGTGGCTAGCAAGCAAACGTGATGCCTCTGCAAGTTTAACATTGCTACACATGGAGTCAGAAGGATTCTCACTTAGCAGGTCAAACTTTCGTCTTTCTATATGTCTGAAATATGGCTTGACCTCTGATGACATGCCTGTCAAGTGAGCTTAAGCAAGATTTCAATGTTGAACAGGCATTGAGTCATGAGACTGGTGGACTTTCCATAATTCGGCAGAATGAAACACTAGACTTGTTCGCGAACGTCTTGTCACAAGTTTGCCACGATGTAGCGGTGGAACCTCAACTGCAGAAAGTAGACCGACCCTTGACAACAGGTTCAAACTCTCAAGCTGGTGCCGGAATGGACATCAGCGCAAGTGGTGTTTGGGGTGGGAATTTCGCGAAAGTACTGTTTGACGTCCGGGTGTTCAGCCCACTCTGCAAAACGAACAGTGGCGACATTCAACAAACGTATCGAAGACAGAAAACAGAAACGAAGGAATTATGAGTCACGAGTACTGACAATTGAAGGTGCGTTGTTTTGCCAAATAGTTTTATCAACATACGGCGGTCAGGCTCACGCTACCCAAGCACTTGTGAAACGAATATATATCTTTGTTTGTAATGTAGACGTGTATACGAAAAGGTAAGAAAAACATATGAACGAATTCATGAGCAATAGCTTCAAATGAGAAATAAGGTTGATATGGTAAATACAAATAGTTTGGGTTTCGACAAAACCATTCGTTCCCAAAAAAGCGCTAAGAGAAGCTTCAAAAACTTGTTTATTTGGAATTAAAAAAAAATTTTTCACGGCTTAAATGAAAGTCTTTCCTATTTTAACAACTCTTCGCTCGCTTCATTTGCTCGAAATAAAGCTGAAAATCAGCGCTTCATTTGCTCGAAATAAAGCTGAAAATCAAAAATTTTAAACAATTTTTCCTGAACACAGACTACTTCTTCAGGACTTACATATGTAATTCGAATCACAACTGAAAGAGTTTTGATATGATATATCAACCGACCCACCCATTCTGATAATTTGTTGCAGTACCTGGTTTTGAGTAAAAGAAAACTTAGAAAAAAAGGATAGCCGGTTACTGAGCAAATATGACAGAATGCACGGACCGTAAGACATTTTGTCTTATATTAGTGTCAAAAATAAAATAACAACGTACCACATAAAACTGAAGCGCTTTCGTCAAAATGACATCATCAGCATCAACGGGGGAAAGCAAAGGAAAATATAAACAAAGGAAAAGATAAAAAGAAATAAGGCCGCTACAGGCGTAAGGTCAGCTCTCGCGCGCGGTACTCCTCCCTGTTGTTCAAGGCAGGGTTCTTCGTCGCAATATGGAGGGCTTCGAACGTCAACAGCTTTGACCTGTCAGGCGAGACGTCAAAAATCTTGGCGATAATGTTATCGGCACTCAAACCACACACCCTAAAGTGGCTGCCCACACGAGCATTCGCCTCCCTGTGCTCCATCAGTCTAGTTGTGAGATGACGGCATGTTTGGCCGACATAGCTGGCATTACATCCAGGACAATCGATTTGATACACAACTTGACTTCTCAGATCTTTAGGATTGGCGTTTTCAAGGACGGCAACAAGGTCTTGAGTTTGCGGGTAGTGAAAACTACAGAACCATTAATGGAGCTTCTGACTTTTTGAAGTAGCTTATCGGAAATGGTTCCTCTATACTGTAGAATTAGGAGCGGTCTTTCAGTCCTATTGAGTGGAGTGTTGCTACGAGTCGTGGGCCCCGTGGTGTTATCCTCGTTGGTGTCAGAGGTAAGGAACTCACTGATAGTGTCTGCTACGATGGGTTCATAGAAGTCCGGAGGTTATTGATTTTTCTCCCAAGTGATCTTCGCAGACTCTGGTCGAAGCTGTCCAAGACGAGGTGGTGTTGTACAGACGGTGCAAAAAACCCTCGATAATATTTCTTTTATACCTGGTAGGGGCGCAGGCGCGAAACGACATTATGAGACCAGTGTTCGTTGGTTTAGAGTACCAGGAAGTGGGATTCGGTTGGCTGTTCGATCTAGCAGCATATCCAGAAAGGGGATTTTTCCCTCTGTTTCTTCTTCAATCGTGAATTCCAAGCACTGGTGCAAAGAGTTTGCCACAGCCAGGATGTCCGGAACCTCTTCTTTCTTTGCCGTCCTGATTATGTCGTCCACGTAGCGACCAAACACATAAGCAGGAGGCGTAGTGGACCGAGCACTAAACGAAGTCCTGGAACATCAACAAAACCAGGGTCGTTTGGCGCGTTGAAACTCCTTAATCTATTTCAATGACAGGTTCGCGCACTTCCGATGGTACCAAGTGGCGCACCAGTGGCAGCGGATCGAGAAGCCCCGGAATGTCACACGTTTCAAGCAGCCTTTGCAAGTGTTGGAATTTGTGTTCTGCGTGACCTCTGTCGTAGAATCCGCTAAAGGTTCACCCGCCAGAATACCTTCAAACTCCTTTAACCAAAAATTAGCCAAATTGACAGCAAGTGTGGAACACATGGCAAACCCGTCGCTCTGCGTATACCACGTGCCACCGGTGAGGAAACACATATTGCACACTGCAAGTCGCATCAACTGGATAAACGTCGACTTGTCGAAGGCCGGTTGTTCTTCCCGTTGATACACCTTATCAGCCGCTAAATTAATGGCTTCCAGGACAGGCACATTGGTGTATAAACTCTTGACATCCATAGAGAACACCATCTCATCATCATCCTCCAGAACAGCCGCTCTTAAAAGCTCTTTCATCTGCGAAGACATGTCTCAATGTTCGAACCGGGGATGTCGTCAAACAACTTGGCCAGTGTTTTGTTCAGCTTGTCGCAACAACTGCCAGGTAAAGACAGGACAGGGCGTAAAATGGTGTCCTTCTTATGTACCTTGGCGAGACCGTATAGGCGGGCTGGTGTGGAACCTGTGGACTTGACTTCCTCGAAGAACCCAGTCGTAACTTTCTTGGCCGCCAGTAATGAACGCAATTCACGAATGAACTATTCTTCCACACGGATGACCAGTGGCCTCTTTTCCGGGGCAAGCGTGTCAAACTGTTGTCCACTAAGAATACAGTTGAGACGTGACTCGTACTCATCTGACGTCATCAAGCAGTACCCAGCACCTTTGTCGAAAAGGACCGCTTTCAAGTCGTTCTTCTTCAAGTACTGTTTCACCTTCTCCACGGCCCGGTCTGGTCTCTGTTTTTTGGCAGCTCTCGCATAATTAAAAGCAGCACCTTTCAAATCGTTTAAGTCGTAACTTTTATTTCCTTTCCGTCTCGTCGCCCTTAGAAAAGAATCAAAGTCCGCCAAGAAGGAGGTCTCATCGAACTTGTCGAGGATCGGGTGCTTCGTGCCAAGGAAGAGCAGATCCACCACTAAACTAGGAGGGTTAATATCTCCCAACACTCTCACTGTGTTGCCCACGGCACGGAGGGGTTTCTGTTGCTTGTCCGCGAGCACTGTGATCTTCTTGCTGTGGCGGTGAGAAATTTTTGAGTTCCATTCCTTGCGTCAGCAACGGCGGGAGAACGGCGGCCAAAATTTTTCTTGCCTCATCAAGGCGCAGCAAAGTCACCGGAAGCTGTTTACTCACCTGCGAGAGTTCTTTTTTCAGCAACCGGTTCTGGAATTTGCACTATCGATTGCTCAAAACAACAACTTTCTGGTACTCGGAACCGTAAAAAGTTCGGGATAAGGTCGTTCGCCAGACATTCCGACACGAAAGACCTTCGGTAAGAGATATTTCGTCTTTTCTTCAACCATTTAATGTAGTTGACCCGCAAAAAGTGCTGATTGCGGTTTTGTAATAACTTCGTAAAAAGTGGAAAGGTTACATTACGTTGATAAGTGAACAGATCGAAATAAAATAACAACGTACCACGTAAACTGAAACGCTTTCGTCAAAATGACCTCATCAGCATCATTCTGAAGTTATTTGTTTGATAACAATGCAAACCAAAGTAAAAACAAAGGAAAAGATAAAAAGAAAGAAAAAAATAAAGGATATTTCTCGCCAGAATACTCTGATACAAAGAAATAAGGCCTTATTTCTTTGTATCAGAGTATTCTGACGACAAAAATCCTTTGTTCTATTTTTTCTTTTTATCTTTTCCTTTGTTTTTTTTTACTTTGGTTTGCAATGTTATCAAACATATTACTTCAGATTGATACTGATGATGTCATTTTGACGAAAAAGCTTCAGTTTTATGTGGTACGTTGTTATTTTAATTCTAACTGTATAAATTAGTATCGTTTTTGTGTGGTGTGATAGTAAGATCTAAACGAAAAAATAGAAATAAGGTATATTCGACAGTCATAGTCAAATTTGCCATTTGCAAAACAGTTTCTGTTGGCAAATTACTAGAAAAACGAAAAAAATATACCAGAGAAAAACAGCAGAATTTCTTTGAACTTTTGAAGTTTTTGACTCCCAAAATGCCGAAAATCAAAAACTAACTTTTCTCGAAAAAACTAAATAACGCGGCTTAAGTTAAGATTAAAAAAGCTATCGTAAGCCTGCAAACCTTATTTTGACATTTGACAAAAATGATTAGCTCAAAATTAGACCAAAAATTAAAAACTAATTCTTTTGTGATGCTTGATTTTGCGTGAGAAACAAAAAAATACACCCGAATACAAAGTTCGTCCAAATATTTCAAATGGTCGGAACAATAACTAAATCAAACCCGGAGACAATGATCGGAACAATAAAAAGAGTAAAATAAAATTGGGCTAAATCAAGCAAAGAAATTCTCGCATCAAAAAAAACGCGTTAGAAAAATTGCTGCTCAGGCTCTCATTGTGAACCCTTTCCAGCAGTGAGCTCAGATCCTATCTAATTTATCTTATTATCTCTTTCCAGAAAAAGCAAGGACACTGACCTGAAAAATCTCTATCATAATCACTATCAAATTCACTAGGAAGCATGTTGTACTCTCCGCCTTGACTACCACCCTCTGGTTTTCCCATTACTGAGGCATTTTCGCTCATCTCTTCAATGTTTTTACCATCAAGTTCAATAGAATTCCGGTCGTCGACATTATTTATAATCACTTCAGCCACGCCTTCTGTAGCCTGATTTGTAGGTGTGTTTCCGATCTCTTCATCTGAGTCCGCATAAGTTGCTAATGAAGACAGCATTCCTGTAGTGGAGCTTCCATCCATTCTTATATCTGGAAAACTAAAAAAAAGTTCCAAATAAAACTCAGACCCCAGCACCGTGAACTTACTGCTTCAGAAAATGGACTATTATTTGCTGTTCATCATTTACTGTTTTTCTGTGGGGGAATCAGAAAGTCGAAAATATCATAAAAACTGAGGTTGCAGTCAGAAGTCCCTTCATCGCATTATCCAGTCAAAACCATTTTTCTAGATATGGAAGAGTTAAGTATAATGTGGATAGAAGTAAAGAGACTCAGATGGTTAATATCTCCCAACACTCTCACTGTGTTGCCCACGGCACGGAGGGGTTTCTGTTGCTTGTCCGCGAGCACTGTGATCTTCTTGCTGTGGCGGTGAGAAATTTTTGAGTTCCATTCCTTGCGTCAGCAACGGCGGGAGAACGGCGGCCAAAATTTTTCTTGCCTCATCAAGGCGCAGCAAAGTCACCGGAAGCTGTTTACTCACCTGCGAGAGTTCTTTTTTCAGCAACCGGTTCTGGAATTTGCACTATCGATTGCTCAAAACAACAACTTTCTGGTACTCGGAACCGTAAAAAACTCGGGATAAGGTCGTTCGCCAGACATTCCGACACGAAAGACCTTCGGTAAGAGATGTTTCGTCTTTTCTTCAACCATTTAATGTAGTTGACCCGCAAAAAGTGCTGATTGCGGTTTTGTAATAACTTCGTAAAAAGTGGAAAGGTTACATTACGTTGATAAGTGAACAGATCGAAATAAAATAACAACGTACCACGTAAACTGAAACGCTTTCGTCAAAATGACCTCATCAGCATCATTCTGAAGTTATTTGTTTGATAACAATGCAAACCAAAGTAAAAACAGAGGAAAAGATAAAAAGAAAGAAAAAAATAAAGGATATTTCTCGCCAGAATACTCTGATACAAAGAAATAAGGCCTTATTTCTTTGTATCAGAGTATTCTGACGACAAAAATCCTTTATTCTATTTTTTCTTTTTATCTTTTCCTTTGTTTTTTTTTACTTTGGTTTGCAATGTTATCAAACATATTACTTCAGATTGATACTGATGATGTCATTTTGACGAAAAAGCTTCAGTTTTATGTGGTACGTTGTTATTTTAATTCTAACTGTATAAATTAGTATCGTTTTTGTGTGGTGTGATAGTAAGATCTAAACGAAAAAATAGAAATAAGGTATATTCGACAGTCATAATCAAATTTGCCATTTGCAAAACAGTTTCTGTTGGCAAATTACTAGAAAAACGAAAAAAATATACCAGAGAAAAACAGCAGAACTTCTTTGAACTTTTGAAGTTTTTGACTCCCAAAATGCCGAAAATCAAAAACTAACTTTTCTCGAAAAAACTAAATAACGCGGCTTAAGTTAAGATTAAAAAAGCTATCGTAAGCCTGCAAACCTTATTTTGACATTTGACAAAACTTATTAGCTCAAAATTAGACCAAAAATTAAAAACTAATTCTTTTGTGATGCTTGATTTTGCGTGAGAAACAAAAAAAATACACCCGAATACAAAGTTCGTCCAAATATTTCAAATGGTCGGAACAATAACTAAATCAAACCCGGAGACAATGATCGGAACAATAAAAAGAGTAAAATAAAATTGGGCTAAATCAAGCAAAGAAATTCTCGCATCAAAAAAAACGCGTTAGAAAAATTGCTGCTCAGGCTCTCATTGTGAACCCTTTCCAGCAGTGAGCTCAGATCCTATCTAATTTATCTTATTATCTCTTTCCAGAAAAAGCAAGGACACTGACCTGAAAAATCTCTATCATAATCACTATCAAATTCACTAGGAAGCATGTTGTACTCTCCGCCTTGACTACCACCCTCTGGTTTTCCCATTACTGAGGCATTTTCGCTCATCTCTTCAATGTTTTTACCATCAAGTTCAATAGAATTCCGGTCGTCGACATTATTTATAATCACTTCAGCCACGCCTTCTGTAGCCTGATTTGTAGGTGTGTTTCCGATCTCTTCATCTGAGTCCGCATAAGTTGCTAATGAAGACAGCATTCCTGTAGTGGAGCTTCCATCCATTCTTATATCTGGAAAACTAAAAAAAAGTTCCAAATAAAACTCAGACCCCAGCACCGTGAACTTACTGCTTCAGAAAATGGACTATTATTTGCTGTTCATCATTTACTGTTTTTCTGTGGGGGAATCAGAAAGTCGAAAATATCATAAAAACTGAGGTTACAGTCAGAAGTCCCTTCATCGCATTATCCAGTCAAAACCATTTTTCTAGATATGGAAGAGTTAAGTATAATGTGGATAGAATTAAAGAGACTCAGATGGTTAGAGATCAATCCAATCACATTGAGAAAGCTAACACCAGCACAGAACAAACCAAATTGAAAGTGACTCCATAAGACTGACCTGACATGCGACTTCGGGTCTATCATATTGTGCCAGTCGGTCATATTTTGAAAATCGGCCTTGATTTGGGATAAAAAGTAATTGTTCAAAAACTCGAATCGACCCTGTCATGCTCGGGTTTCTCGCGACAACTGAGAATACAAAATAAATCATATCAGAAGATTCGAGATATAATTGGGCAGGTTGAAAGAAATTAATGGAGTAAAAATGCTATCTGGAAAAAACCGTCTATATTTTCCTTGAGTAACCACAGATGTTGTCGGTAGTCTTTTGCGGACTGTCGTTTGCACAAAACAAGAGCGCTCTGGAATGAGTTTTTTCAGCACGTGTTCAGACTGGGTTGATATCTTCTCAAAAAAAAACAAGCATCTCTTTTCTTGCAGAATGGTCTTCATCGTTTTGAAATCCTCCAAGATACCCAAATGCACAGCCTTTCTCTGAACACTGTCCAATTTGTCCAGTTGTGCTCGACTCATCCACCCCCAACGCTAAGGCAACATGTCATAACAGACAGAACCAGCGACTTGTATAGTAGTTCGAGTTCTTTTTTCGCATAACCTAGACATTTGAGCTTATACAAGAGATAGAGGCTCTGTGAGGCGCGATTTCAAACTGACTCAATATGACTACCAAATTTGAGTTACACTTAAGATTTTGAGGCTGGATTCCATTCGTTTTCCATTAACAATATCATCTGGTCTCCCATGGTAAATCATCTTAGTTTGAACTTATTTTTTTTTAAATTCAGGAGAAAATATTTTCTCTCACACCAATCGTTTATACAACTGTAATTACATAATACATTACGTAATCATGAATAACATTTTCCTGTAAATTTCTGAGATTTCTTAGTTTTTTGTTCTTGCATGTTTATAAAATTTCGATTTGGGAATATTTTCGATTCTGACATCTCAGTTTTTTAACTTTTAGCCATGTTATATGTAGACTATAATTTCAGTGTTAATTCGCGGCTCCTGAATTCATCGAGTGTGTTGATCCTCGGCCTCTCCCTCCAAATATGCAACGCCTCTAGTGTCAGTAGCTTATGAGTGTTGGCTGTTTGTTCTATAATCTCAGACTTCAGCTCAGCAGTACCGCCTACCTACTTATTACATTCTAAAAGGCAGAAATTTTTGCTAAAAAGTAAATTTCTAACGTTTTTGCAACTATGTATGTGCATCGTCAGGATTTTTACAATAAACTACTCTAAATGACGATAAAACATCAATTTACAAATGTTATTTACAATAAATCACATACAATTTGGTTCTAAACCATCATGATAAAAAATTAGCCAATCACAGTTGAACTCTAAATTACTATTAAGATTAAAATACTTTTAACCTCTAAAATTACTTCAACCTCTTTAAACTAATTTGTCTGGGAGTTTCTGAGTCATAATTTCGATTTAGACATGTACATTTTGAATAAAAAACCAAAAATTATTTTAGGACTAACTTTTCAGTGTTAACTCCCTGCTCCTAAACTCATCGCGCGTGTTCAAGCCCGGTTTCTCTTTCCTGATATGTATTGCCTCTAGTGTTAGCGCGATGAGTTTAGGAGCAGGGAGTTGACACTGAAAATTGAGTCCTAAAATAATTTTTGGTTTTTTATTCAAAACGTACATGTCTAAATCGAAATTATGACTCAGAAACTTCCAGACAAATTAGTTTAAAAATGTTTAATTAATTTTAGAAGTGTGCCATTCTGCCAGATGGCACAGCACAACCTTCCGGCGACGTAAAAAAGAACGACTAAAGGCCTTATTGACGAAAAAGTATTGCGAAGGAGGGTCGGAATATTCTAGATTTTTTATTTTTAAAATTTCGATTGGAAGAAGAATATTTCTCAGAAATACGAAAAACGGCCATTTTGACTGAAAAAGTGACGAAAATGAGAACAACGACAGATATTGTGAAAAACAGTCGTACCAGAGACGGAAAATACGAAGCCTTTTATCGTGGCAACAACGCACGATAAGACACTTGTCAACAGATATTGGTGGAGAAGGAGGCTTCAGTGGGGGAAGAAATACACCACGGAACCCTCCCGGGACACAAATTAGAGGAGATAAGAGCGTTATCTCAGGAATATTACGGGAGCGGAGGCTTGGTCCCCCAGAGACTGTTCTATGTGAAGGGACTGTATAAACTAACTTTATAGCTGCTGGAATGTCATAGATCTCTTAATTAACACCGTTATTGTTTGATATTTCAGAAAATGAGTAGCTAGAAAAAGGAAAGGGTCAATCCATCTCCAAAGGATTTAATATAAAACTGTCACACAAAAATATAGTAAAATAGGTTGTTCGAGCCGTGTTTTTAATGACAATCACGTAGTCTGAGGATCCGAGACTCAGCTATGTGGTTGTGTTCGCATGTAAACGAAAGCTGATCAAAAGTCGTTTGACTGATGGCCTAAAAATGGTAACTTTTTACTTTGCCCTAGACAGACCAGAAAATCAACTGGCAAGGTCGAGACGGTGAAAAGCGAGTAGGATTAAGGTAACTGACGCCTGCCAGTCGTTAATAGGTACTTTTTCTACGCTCCGTCGCTGTGTAGTATTTGGGCGAATGTTACATAGACGTTTTTATGGCGCTCCTGGGTGGGCCTGTCAAAGGCATAAGACCATCATGATCA